ATCGTGTGTCCGAATTCTGTACATGGTGGATAAGTGTTGTCGATAGTCCTATCGAAATTATTGTTGGAACTTATTTTTTATATCAATTACTGGGAAGTGCCTGTCTCTTTGGGTTGTTAGTTATGATATTCACGTTACCGGTTAATCATTATACGGCTAAGCATTATGCCAAGACACAAGATCGCTTAATGAAAGCGCGCGACCGAAGGATTAATTTGATGAACGAGGTAACAAGCATATTGGCATGACTATGGAATATAATGATTGTAACAAATATTAAAGTTGCTAATTATTTCAATTGTAGGTCTTACAAGCAATACGTATTATTAAAATTTTTGCATGGGAGACCAGTTGGGAAAATAAAATACTAGTTTTAAGGGATATTGAACTTAAAGAACTACGCAATAATTTTATATATCTCACTATGTTTGATTTACTATGGATGGCATCTCCAATATTAGTGGCCGTAGTCTCCGTGAGTACTTTACGATCCTTCATTTATACTCGCAATTTCTGACGCTGTTGATTTATATAATTTAACAACTACTTACGTCTATCGTAGTTTTTTTGGTATACTAAAATCCAAGCCCATGTACTGACGACGTCAGTGGCGTTTGCTTCGATCGCTGTTTTTAATGAACTCCGATTTGCTCTGAATATTCTACCCGAAGCTGTTATGGAAGCTTTACAGGCATATGTTAGTCTTAACAGGATAGAGAAGTTTCTTAACGAAGACGAACTTAAACCGCCTACGGCTGAAGACCTCGAAAACTTTAACCGAATCGCATTTGTGGATGCTGCCGTGAAGTGGAATCAGAGTGAAAACAAAGCTATTAGCCACGATGATTTACGGAAGGAATTCATTATGACTGAACTAAATTTTGAGTTTCCTGTAAGAGAGCTCAGTATAATATGTGAGTATGTTTATAACTTGTCATTCACTTAAAGTAAGATGACGTTAACAAAATTTACACTACAGGTGGACCGACAGGATCAGGGAAGGTACGTTAAGGGATCATTTCAAAACGTTATGTCGTGTTTAGTGCATTAATTTTTTATTTATTTAGACATTACTGTTGATGTCATTATTGGGAGGTATGACCAGACGTTCGTGCGAACATAAGTGTAATTTGATATCTCACTAATATTGTTTGTATTATTTGTTAGAAACGGAAAGGCTTGCCGGCAATATATATTGTCCGCGCTCACCATCCGACAACACAATTTTATCCGATAATATTACTCCTGAGAACTGGATTATTGAGAACGGTGTTGCTTTTGTTGCTCAACAGTCATGGCTACAAAATGCTTCTATACGTGATAACATTCTCTTTGGCTTACCATATCACGAAGTTCGCTATGTACAAGTTGTCAAAATGTGTGCGTTAGAGAAAGATTTGGATATGTTTGAAGACGGAGATTTGACCGAGATAGGCGAGAAAGGTTTGACTTTATCAGGTGGACAGAAGCAGAGAGTGGCGTTGGCAAGAGCTGTGTATTCAAGAGCAAGACATATATTATTAGATGATGTGTTGAGCGCTGTAGATGCTCACACTGCTATGCATCTGATGAGCGAATGTATTATGGGCTCATTGATGACAGATCGAACTAGGATATTAGTGACTCATCATGTAAATCTTTGTTTACCTAGTGCTTCATACCTGGTGCGTATATTCGAGGCCAAACTTTTTTTCTTCGATTGACGTTCGATGACTATAATTAAATAATCCTTTTCTATCGTACCTATTAGGTAGCTGTTAGGGATGGGAAAGTTTCTCATGTTGGAGATGTAGATAAATTACGCGAGTTGGGCAAACTTGCAGAAATCATAGAAGAAGTTGAGGAGAATGCGGAGATTAAAGCAACGACGATCGAGTTGGAATCATCAGATGACATCGATAAGGCACTTTCTCACGAACAAGACGAGTCTGTTGCATCTTCAGGTGCAGCAGTAAATGGAGACATATCCTCATCCCAAACCAATAAGAAAAAGAGTACTGGACCAAAGATTCTCGTTGAGAAAGAAGGTAACATGAAGTCTGTCTTAGTTTGTTTAACTTATGAAAGAGTAACTAATTGATAACATTAATAGCCCGTGCAACCGGAGCAGTTAGATTCAAAATTTATAAAACGTATATAATAACAACGGGCCATATATTTTTCTGGTCAATCGTCGTCCTTCTGTTCCTCGCCACACGCAGTTCACAAATTCTAGAAAGCTGGTGGCTCAAAGTATGGACTGGTGATACAGAGCAAGCAGAGTCATTCGGGTCTCTAAGCATGCGCCAAGTTGACTGGGCTCTTTTCGAACAAATGTACATTAGTTCTGAATTTAACATTGAACGTACAAATCACGATCTTACATACTATCTGACCATTTATACGTTGATAACGCTTGCGTCAGTCGTATTTGGAATAGCCCGATTTGCAGTGCTATACTATGGATCATTGAAGACATCGAGGTTACTGTACAAAAAATTGCTTAAAAGAATTATGAGAGCTCCGTTGAGATTTTTTGATACTACGCCAGTTGGAAGAATATTGAATAGATTTAGTAAGGATTTTGAGACTATCGATGGAAACATAATTGGTGAGCGTCATCTAATCTAAAAGATTCTGCGGATGTTATTAGTGACGTCAAACTGATTGTGTTCTGGTATGTACAATATAGGTGATTTAGCATGGTTTATGAACAATACCTTGATGATGGTGACAACTGCTATGGTCATAACAGCTATCACAAAAGGTATTTAGTTTACAATGTACTGGTTGGTAAAATTTGGCAGTGTTTATTCAATTTGTTTGTTAAACATCAACAGAATTCGTAATTGCGGCTGTAATATTTGGTAAGTAATTAGTATATTCGTAACAGTCTTCAATGAGATTCACTATTTACTATTGTATGTTTATTGTAGGGATCATATATTTGGTCGTGGGAGCATTATTCACTAGGGCGTCGCGCGAACTAAAGCGAATGGATTCTGTCAGTCGATCTCCACTTTATACTCATTTCACAGAAACTTTGGCGTATGTATGCAGATACATATATGCATACTTGTTTATCTTCTATTATTTGTGTTTCTCCTGAAATAATGCGTATGGGTTTTCTCACCTATGTCTTACTTGTGTAGAGGAGTGACAACGATTCGAGCATTTGGTGCAACAAAACGCTTTATGGAAGAAATGCTTACGCGGTAATACAATTAGCTCTTTAAATTCTTTCATTCCTCCCGTTCTAGCTAACAAACATTTGATCCTAGAATCGATAATAACGCTCGCCCATTCTTCTTTGTCTGGTTGATCAATCGCTGGCTTTCAATGCGATTCAATGTGACTGGAGCTTTTGTCTCGTTCATAGCCGCAATCTTTCTATTGTGGAACATCGATACTGTGGATGCTGGCCTTGCTGGTTTATCTTTATCGTTTGCCATGAATTTTACCGAGCAACTGATGTGGGCAGTACGGCGATATACTTCATTAGAAATGAGCATGAATGCAATGGAAAGAGTGGACGAATTTTCCGAAATCGCACAAGAGCCGCCGGAAATTGTGCATCCGAGACCATCTGCGGGATGGCCATATGATGGAGCGATAACAGTAGAGAATTTGGAAGTCAAGTACGCCCCAGATTTAGAACCTGTACTGCATGGAATCTCTTTTGAAGTCGGAGGTGGAGAGAAAGTTGGAATTGTCGGAAGGTAAACTTCGCTTTTTTTAGCGGGTAGTGGGTTGTTGTTTGCTGATATCAGATTTTAACTCGATCTTATCGTTTAGGACTGGTTCAGGAAAGGTGAGCAAATCTTAAGTGCTTTATGAATTTTTAAGTTATATATGTGATCAACGATGCATATGGAGTATCCGCGTTGTTACCGTTTCTAACCGCATTCGTTCTTAGTCCACTTTTGCTCTTGCTTTCTTCCGGTTTGTTGATGCGTCTGCGGGGCGAATTACAATTGACGGAATTGATATTGCTTCAATTGGCGTACACGACCTTCGATCGAGAATGACCATAATACCGCAAGACCCAACGCTGTTTACAGGTCGGGATTAAGATAATGGTTTTTTTTATAATTCTGGTTAATTTATCGCTCTGTTGACTCTGTATGTTTATTAGGAACTATAAGATCAAATCTTGATCCTTTTGATGAACACTCGGAACATGCGATTAGGGAAGCCTTGGAACGTGTGCAATTACTTCCGAGTGCAGGAGAGATTGCTGAAGATTCAGCAACATTGGCCAGCGCTAGTGTATTCCAAAGTCTAGAGACACCGGTAAGCGAAGGCGGGAAGAATTTCAGTCAGGGACAAAGACAATTGCTTTGTTTGGCGCGAGCTTTGTTGAGAAGATCAAAGATTATCCTTATGGATGAAGCCACGGCTAGGTAGGAATTGAGATTTCTTTCAAATCAACGTATCATTATGTTAATGCTTAACTATTTATTATAGTGTTGACTTTGGGACCGATGAGAAGATACAAGAAGCAATTAGAAGCGAATTTGTTGACTCTACTATATTGTGTATTGCTCATAGATTGAGAACAGTGATTGATTATGATAAGATACTCGTGCTTGGTAAGTGTTTTAGTATACGTCAATTAATTCGGAGTTGGAATCTGACTATACTGATGATATTATTTAGATCAAGGAAAAATCCTAGAATATGACAGGTGAGGTTTTCGTTACCATGAATGACACTATTTCGAACAACTTTTTAACATTTGCTACAATTCTAGTCCTTATAATCTTATCACCAATTCACAATCTGCCTTCTATAAAATGTGCAAGAATTCGGGTGAATATGAATTGCTACTGTCGAATGCCAAAGGTGGTGGTCAGCTATCGGAAGCCGAGGAAAACACGAATTCTTAATGACAATATGATGACTTGAATTAATCATAGAATGCACTTGAATAATAGGTGATACTGATACCATATAAATAAACCATGCAATGTTTCTTGCGATCTTTTAATTGTTGCCATTCTCCCTATGGACATTTCTATTTAATAGTCCGGATAACGCGGTAATGCAAACCCTACTCGATCTTTTTCTCTATCAAATACCACCTAGAACAAATATGACAAATTAGTATGCGTTGACAATCCAATAATTTAGAAAATATTGCAGGTCGATAGACTTACGTATACATTCTTCAAGAAGGTGCCACCAAGAACCCAAGTCTAATAAAAATAAATAACATCAGATCACTCTTAGTTAAATAGTTCGACAATCAATCGTACTTGTGTTGTACTTACAGCTTCGTCTGTACCGGTAATGCCCGAATAACATATGTTACCTCGCATTTTCTCCCTCACCAAATCAGAGGCTATTAAATCCACGAATTAGATGAGTAACGTTATATTTTTGATTATTATGGATACTGCTTAGTACTCACGATTGATTCTGAATGAAGCACCACCAATATTGATGACCAGGTTGTTATATTGATTTCTTACGGCAGCACAAGGCAGTGTCCAATATCCTGATTTAGGGTCAAAGCCTCCACCCAATTTGGAATGAATAGCTTGAGCAACTTGAGTACCGACAATAAGCATGGTAGCCCCGGAATCGACAACAACCTGTTGGTTTACCCCTCCAAGCGTCTTGTCAGCTAAGCTAATAGAATTAATTGCGATTTGCCAAAAGAGCTTTTTGGTCACAGGAGCGTATATAATATTCCCTAAATAAAGATTCGGGTCAATGCCGCCAAACATGATAATTCCACCTAAACGCGAGCCAAGGCGCGCTGGGCGGAGTTGGATTGAGAAAATAGCGCTCGGAATTAGTTTGTCTCTGATCATGTTGGTGAAGGGTGTCACTGTTCCTGGAACCATTGAAAGTGCATCGTATCCTAGGGTAGATGCAATAGAATAAGTTATTGCCAGATTCGTTGTTCTACACTCACTGGACAAAAGTCTACGTAATTTTTGTCGATCACATAGTAAAACATATGAAAAATCTATTTTTTCGAA